CTCTGTAAACTGCTTAGAAAGGCTTGTAAAAGCACTGCGAAGCAGTATATAAGTGTAAGTGCTACTGCTATTGTTTTATCTGACAGCAGGACAGGGCAGGTCCATGACTCTTCACATGCTCAGAGGCATGCGCCGTGGCAATGCCACCCTGGTAGCTCACCAGGGCAAGACTGGGCATTTCTGCTCTCGCGGGAGACACTTTTCCACAGAGATAACCCGAGTTTCCCCCAGCCCCGTTTGAGCCCACTGGGGAGGAGGAAAGCCACTCGTAAGGGGGTATGCCCCCCCCCAAGGCTGGATTTGGGGTGCTGGGCTGGCCCTTAGAAGGCAGGGGGCCGGGCGGGGGCTCACCGTGGCCATCAGAGCAGAGGGCTGGGCAGAGATGGCAGCCGCCTGCTGCAGGAGCCCCTGGGAAAGCTGCAGACTCTGCTTGAGACCCTCGTTTTCCACGGTCAGGTTGTGGATCCGCTTCTCCGAGTCCGTCACGCCCTGGGGGCCAAAGAGGAGTTCAGTCAACCCACCAGAAGAGAGTGTGCCATGCCCTTGTTGGAGTCCGGTTCTGACAGGGAGCGGGAGTGGAGCTCCAGGGGCTATGGAGGCTGGGCATTCAGAGGAAGATCCAAGCCCACCCCCCCACCCTTCATCCTAGGGCACAGAGGGAGGAGGAACGGATAAGGGAGCAACATGGTTTACGAGAGAGGAAAGGGCCCTGATCCCCTTCAGGGGCTGCACCTGGGAAGACTGTTTAAAAGGGCAAACTGCGCATGGCAAAGTTGCTGGAAGCCATGCGTGCATTCTCTTTGTCGAGGCTTATCTGGGTTTTGATATCCTCCCAACTGTGGGTGTGCTGCGTTATCTGTTGGAAGTCTGCAAATTATCATCCTGGCCTGCCTTGTTAATTACTTCAGTGTGGTTTGTGTTGTTGTTGTTTTTTTAATTTCTAATTATCTTTACTTTGGGTTCGGACTGCATTTCTTCCCTTCGTAGACTGTTTTTGGAAGAGTTTGATCTCCAGCCGAGGATAGTTGGACGTTGGGGGCCACGTTGGAGGCATTAAAGGGAATTTATTCTACTTTGGTGACTTTGTTATTTTTGTGCCACGCCCCTTTGGGTCGTCACACACTGGAAGGGATCTTGGAGGTCTTCTAGTCCAGCTCTCTGTTCAAACAGGAGACCCTAGACCATTTCAGACAATCTCTTCTTGAAAACCTCCAGGGATGGAGCAGCCACAACTTCTGGTGGCAAGCAGTTCCGCGGATCGATTCTTCTCACCATTAGGAAGCGTCTTCTTAATTCCAGGCTGCTTCTCTCCCTCATCCTGAGTTCCCTTCCTCAGCCTGGTTTTTTTTTGGGGGGGGGGGGGGGGG